TCTGTTCTCAAATATCGACGCTACATCTGCTCTGAATTCTTCCACCAAGGTTTTGTTAAAAACATCGAGTCAAGTTTATTCACCACTGCAAAAATTATTATTGTTGTTTTAATTAGTAACGAGGAACTGATATGTGGTTTACTAACACGTTTATCTTTGTGTTTACAGCTATAGATCCGCACTTGACCAAAACCACGTTTTCAGGTATAAACCAGCTTTGTGGTGGGAACTTTTTCTTTCTGTAATTCTGTTTGTAAAGTTTGACTTGTTAAAATGTTCCAAAAAAATTTAAGGTGCTTGTTTCACAACTGGTATACTTCCAAAACATATTCTTCTCATCATACTTGAAAAAAGTAATCGGATTACAGTAACGCGTTACAAGTAATGCGTTACTGCCCATCTCTGCTTACCTCGATGTTCCACACACATGTGGTGCGAGGAGGGTAGTTGGACGGGAAGAACGGTGAAGAGATGGAGCCTTTCTCTCCAGTCAGCGCGCCGCCACAGTCTGAGGGACGCACAGTTCATACTGACATGTTAGATCGTCTACAAAGACTTTAGCTGCAGAAGTAATAAAGTTTACGCCGAGATAGCATCCTTTAGATCTGACCTTTAACACAATTACTATTATTATTATGTACTGATTGAAAAATCATTACTGTAATCTCTGAAACATTAGGCAGTCTTAAGATTTCTGCTGCTGTTGCGTTTTTTTCCCAACACACATTTAAGTCACACATTTCAAGTCTTTCATGCCCAGTGGAAATATTTCACAAAGACCTGACAGCTGTTCAGAAGAGGTTTGATTTACTTAGTGTAGTCTGAGGAATCGGGGAGTAGTTCGCTCTGAAGCCGGGGAAGTTTTTCTCCTCATTAGTGACCAGCATCAGCAGCATGACGTTTCCAGAGGAGATGAAGGACAGCGACTGGTCAGGGTATCCACACTGTCTGAGCGGAAAAGGGAGACAGAAAGAAACCTTTAGTGCTCCTGGGGCCGGGTGCATAACGCATGTGTCGGCACAAAAACCTTTTAATGCCTTTTCCCAACACAAACTGGCGTTGTACGAGGCATGCCCTCTCCCTCTGCGTATGCCTGACATGTCCGTCTGATTTCCTCATTTCGTATCCCGTCCAATTATGGTCACTCTGAAACAGCTAAATATATATCTCCATATCTTTACATTCGTTCCAGAGTCTCTGCCAATTTTTTAACCTGAGCCAGTGTTTCAGGGTAAACAATATTCAGGAACCTGGTTACTTTAGTCTGAACATCCCTTTGTGCTAAAAATGAACAGCTATTAAAACACAGAATAAGAATATCAGCTTGTTTAGTCTCGTTTTCTCTGAGATAACTGACACTTTAAATTCTAGGAAGAGTTTTTCTCACTCTGTCATAGCGCGTTTCTCTATGGGGACGAGCGAGTCGTAGATTTTGATGAAGTCTCGCTGACAGTCGTCCTCCAGGATCAAGTCATCAAAGTCGAGCTGGATTCGGTGTTGCGGGTCTGCCCGAAACTTCCACTGCAGGTAGGCGTTCGAAGGGTACGGAGAGTTTGGAAATCCCGGAGACTCAACGTGCCCGGAGTTTTCGATGTGGATGTCGATGCTTTTCCTCTCTGGAAATATGACGAGAAGAATATGTTTTGGATGAAGTGAAACAAGCACCTTTAAATTTTTTGGAACATTTTAACAAGTCAAACTTTACAAACAGAATTACAGAAAGAAAAAGTTCCCACCACAAAGCTGGTTTATACCTGAAAACGTGGTTTTGGTCAAGCGTGGATCTATAGCTGTAAACACAAAGATAAACGTGTTAGTAAACCACATATCAGTTCCTCGTTACTAATTAAAACAAC